AAATAAATAAATAAATAAATATACAAACAAACGGTGGGGGGGGGCAGGGGAGACACAACATTCACAACAATTCCTTGAACTTTTTGAGACAAGTGAACAGATATGATGTTGATGGAGGGGAGGGGGGAGAGGTGGAGGGAAGAGGAATTGGTAAAGGGACACAAAAATCAACTACAATGTATATTGATAAATTAAAATTTTTTTAAAGAGTTAGATTGGGAGTGCTGAAGTGGGCTCCACAGTGTCAAGAGAAAATTAGTGGATGAGTTAGTCTGTGAAGAAAGCAGAGATATTTTATCCAGCAACATAAAACAGTGTTTTTTAAGCCTGTCATATTTCCAGTGGTCAACCTACTATCCTACTTGTTTTGATACTTACCATTTCGTCACTTCTTCTTTTTGTTGTTTTCTGAAGTGAGAACTGACACGTTGCTCAGTAAATTCCCTTGTTCATCTTATGCAATAAAGGAAATCCTGACTTAAATGCACAGCCACAGAACAAATTAATATTCATATGTCTGTTAGAGATGGACTTCCTAAAACACAGGTAAAGTGTTTATCCGTCAAGATTCATTTTCCCTGAATTTTACTAACAAAACACTACTGGACTCAGAAACTGAAGAAGGGAAGAGAGAGAATGAGAAAAAGAGAGAAAAAATGAATTCTTCCAAGTCATCTGGATCACAATGCACAGGTAAAATCTGCAACTCTCCCTTGTCTTCCATAGCCTGATTTTTGGAACAGGTGATAAATACGGTGACGGACAGGACAATGGAAAAGTACTCAATGAAGTAAAAAATGGGCGCACGCACACACACAGAGAGAGAGAGAGAGAGAGAGAGGAGAGAGAGAGAAATTAGAAGATTGTATGTTATACTAGAAAGCTTGCCGGACTTTTCAGGGAGAGCTACCAGACTTGTTTCTGTCCTTTCTATACCACACTGTGTCCCTTTGGACAAGTCACTTCGTTTCTGTAGAACTCATGCTGTTTGTCTGTGAAATGTGTACTGGGAGAAGGAAAGTGACTGCTAGATGATTGTCAATGTTTTATGTGACTAATTTACAAAAAGCTTGGAAAACAAAACACTAAAAGAAGAAAGCAAGAGACAAAAAAAGCAGAGAGAGAGAGAAAGGGATAAGGGGGGAAAAGTCTTAGAAAATGTTAAAGTATTTTAACTGGAAGACTTATAAAGGAGAAGTTGCATATCTGAGCTCATGAGAGTCTTAAAATTAGGAAGGGATTATACCAGTGGTTCTTAAATTGTCCTCAGACCAGCAGCATCAGCAGCCCCTGGGAACTTGCTGGTTCCATACAAGCTCTACGGAATTGTCAACTCTGGGGGTGGGGCTCAGCAATGCGTGTTTCAATGAGACCTCCAAGTGATTCTAATGTACACTGAAGTTTGGTAATTACTCGATACAGACAGTGCAAGTGGAAGGAAATAAGAATCTCATATATCTCTTTTGTGTTTTGCTTAGCAAAGATTGACCGTGTATGTGTGTCCTTCTTCCTACAGAGCGGAGATGCTGGTCTTCCCAGGGGTTCTTATGGACTGTTGCTGGGGTCTCCATCCTGCTTCTCAGCGCCTGTTTTATCACTAGAGTTGTTGGTGAGTTCTGAAGACCACATTCAATCTAATTCTCCCTGGTGAATATTGGGAGTAAACACTTCCTTGATGCCTGTGTGTTCTCTTCTCCCACATAGGGTCTTTCTATTTCACTTTCACCTTATTAATCTCCAAGCTGTTCCACAAACCAGAAACCCCAACTAGTGCAGAACTGTTACTAAGTTACACTGACCTCTGGTACATTTTTCATAATAGACATTTTTCATCCCCTTGGTGGTCTTGAGTCTTCCCCACTGTACCCCTATCATTAGTGTAATCTTTATGAGATTCTAGCTTGAAGCTTGGACTCACTGTGTCAAGATCAAAGACACAAGAAATTACTTTTTGGAAGAAAAGATAGAGAGGATTAGACTTAGCATAAGAGAGAGTGCAAATGTATTTTTTCTCAGGGCCTTTAGGTCTGAAATGAAGTGTATTCAGCTTCATAAATCAGGAAAACTATGAAATGTGAATTCCAGTGCCATGGAAGGAAAAGTAGAAAGAAAATCATGATAATTATTGGCATTTTTGTTATAGGCAAAACACGAAATTGATTTTTATCAAAAAATAGTAATGAACATTAACTGTGCTCCTTTCCTTACAGTGACATATCACATCTTTCAAAGCTGTGATGAGAAAAAGTTCCAACCACATGAGAATTTCATGGAGCTTTCCTGCTACAATGACGGAGCAGGTATAATAGACCCCAAAACTGAAATTTATATATCAATGTTTTCTGGCTTCCAGATTGACTTTGAGATACGTATAGTTGGATAAGGTTCTATTTTTCAAAAATTAAATGTAAAATCCTGCCTGTGCTGTAAGAGAATAATGAGGAGTTGGAAAGAGTCTGGGAATAGAAGTTCGTAAATGCAATTAACCTTGGGGCAGGAAATCTTTGGAACATTATAGCAAACTTTTAGAATAAATTTGAGGTATACATCTGAACAGTAAATGTGGAGGTGGAAGGGGTTAATTCCCAGGAGTGTTCTTTTATTTTTTTTTTAGAACTTGGAAATACTTCAGAAATATATTCCTTGTGCCCTAACATATCATCCTGTTCCAAGTCTCAGCAAGATGCTGTATGACACTGGGAAAGTGACTTCCTTCTCTGATCTGTAATTTCTTCAACCCTAAAGTGAGAGGGATTGAACTATTTATTTTTCGTCAATTTAAAGGCGGAAATTCTGTAATTCTAAGAAATTTAGCCATCTATACACCACCGTTTGGATATTTGGTTGAGGGCACACTGTTGAGGCAGCATTAGAGATAGTTGCTTAGGATAAGCAACCCAGATAAAAAGCCTAACTTTCTATGATCTCGGCAGTCTAAGAACAGATAACAGAGTTCTACCTCAACAGCGTAACTGAGATAGATTGCATATATGGCTGCATTCGCTGGCACTGATATCTAGAAAATAAGGATTATGTTCAAAAGAAAAAAAATGCTGTTTGTGTTTTTGACATTGGAATTATCTAAAGTCTTAGACAGCAAGATGGGTATGAACAAGAAATTCCAAGGCTTCTGACTATAAGTCATGGATGGCATGGTGCCAAGTGAAGTTTCGTTTTCTTCACCAGTGCCCCAGGGACACTCACTGAAACTTCTCTCCTCCTAGGTTCAGTGAAGAGTTGCTGTCCATTGAACTGGGAACACTTTCAATCTAGCTGCTACTTCTTTTCTACTAACACCTTGACATGGGCGTCAAGTCTAAGGAACTGCTCAGACATGGGGGCTCACCTGGTGGTTATCAACACGCGGGAGGAGCAGGTAGCAGGCGCACGGGCTCCTCCAGCGCCGGTGCAGCCTTCTTCACAGGGCCCAGCCCTTTTCCATGCGTTTGCACAGTGTTGGACCTTTAATGGCTGTTTGTTGAATGAATGTACTGGAATGCGTACTGTTCCTACTATTTCTGTCAGTCACTACCTACTTTATTTTTATTACTAGGAAATCCTAAGAAAGAGGGAATTTCCCTGTGGAATTCCTTTATTAGTTAAACTGGGGCAGGGGACTGTTGGAGATTAGTTTTAGTTCTAAAATTTCCATTATGTTTATGAACATATCATATGAAACAAAGCGAGCAAATATTGTCCATTATCTTTCAACTGTGATTAATAATGTTTGTTCTAAATATATGCAATGGATTTGGCAGCCAATAACAGTAAACTCTGAATGAGTTATCAGGAATCTCCTTCTCTGTTGAGGGTTATTTTTTGTCAGTTTAATTTTATGTTGTGTATATTTTGCCACAATAAAAAATAAATCTGTAGATAGTCCTCATAATCTTACATCTTCAGGCCCATTTATCTATTATCTCTAGTCTAGATCCTATTTTACCTCTCTTAATAACAATTACCTTCAACATTTGCACAGAGCTGATATAATTGATTTTCTATTTTTTTTTTATTGTGTATCTTCCATAGGAATTTCTTTTCCACAAGAAACCTAGAAAGAGAGAGTTTTATATTGGACTGACGGACCAGGTGAGCGAGCGTCAGTGGCAGTGGGTGGATGGCACGCCTTTCACGTACACTCTGAGGTAAGCACCTCCTGGTAGGAGAAATGCAACTCTGCCCCAAATCTTAAGTTAGACCACTGTTGAGGGGGGTTCTCAGAAGCCCCTTCTGTTGCATGAGATATATTCAGGGCCATCCCTGGTGGTGTTAGTTGCAGGCACGGGAATAGCTGGTGCAGAGGAAACAAAAGCGCAAGCACCTGCCTCTCCCACTTCCTGGAACTGTCTCGAGAATAAAGGGCAAATAGCGGAGGGGAATAAGAAGGGAATTAGAACAGAAGAATCGCTCATTGGGAATGCAGAAGACACAAGACTGGAATTAAGAGTTTTACTCTGGGAAATGAGAAAAAAAATAGTGACTTAGGAAAGATGGCTGATTCTTAAAGAGTGAAAATTGAGACCCCTTGATAATGTCTCTTTTCTATTTGATGATGGCCTTACATCATTAAAGCACAGCATTTGGAGTTTTCAAAGTTTTTTTTCTCATTCATTATTTTATTTTACCGAAATCACACCTTCCTGAGATACTTCAATGGTATGAATCTTCATTCAGCATTTGAGGAAACTAACGGTCAAAGGCGTTAAATGATTGTACAGCTAGTAAGCAGTGGTTCTGACAGTCCAGCCCAGATGCTCTGACACTTTACAAAAGTTGCTTCACTACAGCCTTGGAACACCATTGAAGGGCTGCCCCTGCGTTAATACATACTCTGTGAAGGATAAAGGGAACCAGACATGATATGAGACATGAGTGCAAAGGAAACAAATCCACCAGGACATCAGTCCTTGCCATAACTTCCCGTTCTGGGTCTAAGACTCAAAGACAGAACAGAGAGTCAGAAAAATCCAGTTTAGCTTCAAGACTCACAGCTTCTACCACTTAGGCAAATTGTTTAGCTTTTCCGAGATTGTCTTCAACAATGAAATGGAGATTACAATACCTACCTCACAAAAGGATTGTGAAGTTAAATAGCAAAAATGTAGTTTGCCTGATATGTCAGGTCTCTTCACCTCTTTTTGCTGGAATTTCAAATCTCCCTTGATCGCTCTCTTGCAGCTTCTGGGACGCAGGAGAGCCCAACAACTTAGCTACTGTGGAGGACTGTGCCACCATACGAGACTCTTCAAATCCAAGGCAAAACTGGAATGACGTACCCTGTTTCTTCAACATGTTTTGGATTTGTGAAATGCCAGAAGTAGATATTTCGAGCAAAGAAAAATCTCTAAAAACAAAAGGCACAACTTAAATGTATAAATGAGAAGGAACAGGAGCATAACCCCACACAAGAAATGTGTGCACTGTACTTCCGAGGACTGCATAAGTATGTACTACCGTGATGTAAATAAAAACAAGCAGTTTTGAAGGTTATAATTCATGGTATTGACTGATCTTTTCCTCAACGTTAGTCTCAGGTCCTCTTCCCAGAATTTTCAAAGCAATTCACTGACAAATGCCATGAGAAGAAAGGAATGCTCCTTTTGGTAATTTTATCTCTTTTGTGAGTATTTATTGTTTATTTTTTATTTTCTGTGGGAATCGCAATCTTTTTTTTTTTAAAGGATATGCACATTTATTTGTTCAAATAACAAATACATAAACTGAATAACAGGTGAATAACAAAATACACTGTAGAAAGTACGGCTTCAATTTTTCACAAATGCTAGAGATGTAAAATATTAAAATTTAAATATTTCATTTTATAATCTCTACAAGTATTTAAAACAGCTCTCTAAAGTCTTCTAAAAGCGTGCAAAGGGCAAATTAATGTCAACAGAGGATGAAAAAACTTTTTCAAAGGCAAATTAATTTGTAAGCATATCGAGTCCACTTGATAAAAAGAAATCAAGAACAGAAATTAAATATCTAAGTTTAGCAAGATAAATAAATAAAACAGAACATAAACACAATGACACTCCAAAAGTTCACGGAAAAGTAGAATTGAAAGATAATGGAAATTTTTTCATGACCTTTTGTTTGTTTTGTTGAAATTTTTCCTTTTTAAAAAAAGACTAAGATCATTAGAAAATATGCTCTCTGACCACAATAAGAGAAGGAAATTTAGAAAACTCACAAACGTGTGGAAATTAAACAATAGTCCCTTAAATAAACAATAGGTAAAAGAAAAGTCACAGGGAAGTTACGGAGCTCTTTCAGACAAAGATCAAAGCACAGCATATCAAAATTTATAGGTTGCAAGGCTCATGCAGTGCTTAGACAAAAATTTATACTTGTAGACACCTATATTAAAAATAAGAAAAATCTCAAATAAGCAATGTAAACTTCTACCTTAAGGAAATAGAAAAAGCAGAGCAAACTAAACCAAAAGCAAATATAAATATTAACAAAGATTACAGCAGAAATATATGAAATAGGGAATTAAAAAACAATACAAAAAATTAACAAATCCAAATTCTTTAAAAAGATGAACAAAATTTGCAAACCTTTCTGAGTGTTTATATGAAATTATAGGAAAACAGAGTCATAACAGAGAGGACTTTGGAAAGTACCTTTGAACAACTGCCTGAATTCAGTCTCTGTATCAAGTCCTCTTTTTTCGAGGTCCTGAAAAGTCTGTCCTCTCCTTGATTTCATGCTGTTTTTAATCTCCTGCCCAAGCATATGTTTTCTCTGTGCTTTCCTGTACAATGAGTAAGTCATTCTTACATGAATAATTCTTCAAGTCATGGAATTTACTCCGGCTCAAAAGACTTTCTGGTCACAAAACTTTAATGCACCTCTTTAGGGAAATGCTAACCCTCAACTCTAAACACACGGTAAACAAGCCCACTCACTCCAGGACCTCCCTTTTCTCTCTATTCTCTTCCACTGAAGGGTTGGATCTCACCCGAATTGTATCTATTGCTCAGCTATGGCCAGAGTGCAATAGCCAAATTATTCTAAGAGAACATTCAGTTTCACACTGTTCTATCTCAAGCCTATCCATTTATTGTATAATATTCTATCAATACTGATAAGATGACTCAAGAATATGTAAATAACATGGCAGCTTTAATAGCCATGTTTCTTGCATACAATGCCGTAAGGAGACCTTCAAAATTCAAACACTGGAATTAATGTGTGGTCATTGAATGGGAAAATTAAACTAACAAGTGAATATATTATATTAGCTTTCTTTACATAAGTATATTTCTCTTAGGCATTATGATAATCTGGTTTTGAAATAACACACTTTAAAGTTAAAAGTCATTCAACCTTGGGCCAGCCCGGTGGCGCACGGGAGAGTGCGCCGCTTGGGAGTGCGGCGGCGCTCCCACCAAGGGTTCGGATCCCATGTGGAGACTGGTTCCCGCTCACTGCTCACTGGCTGAGCGCGGTGCAGGCGCAACACTGAGGGTTGCGATCTCGTTGCTGGTCCCTGGTACGGGCGCGACACCAAGGGTTGCGATTCCGTTACCGGTCAGTAAAAAAGAAAAAAAGGAAAAAAAAAAAAAGTCATTCAACCTAAAAGTATTTCAATAAACATACCTTCAACTTTCTAATTCTCTTTTTTAAAATCACAAACATCAATGAGGAAACCCTGAAAGACAGATGAGTCTTTTTTGTTTATTGGTGTTTCCCTGCACGTGACTATAATTTGATTATTTTAAGTTTTATTTCTATATTGAAAGACAAATAAAAATATTATATATTATCTCCCCATATCTACTGATAATTTAAGCTATAAAATTAAAACTTTGTCTTCACAGTTTGTCAAGAAAAGAAACAATTGCTAAGGGTATAGTGGTTAACGGTCATTGGAACCCAAATTATCTATCTGGAAAATTCTTTTCTGAGGAAATAATTCAAATGCAAATGTATCAAAATATAGGATTTTATAAGTGAGACTAAACAAATACTTAACCACTTTAGACACCAGAAATTTACAAAAAATGAAAGTTATTAATCATCTATATTCCCTAAATACCATTTGGGTTCCCAATTAAAAAAAAAAAAATTACTCACTCTCCTGCTTTCCGCTGAACTGATACAGGTTCATTATCAAAAATTCCTATAGAACACAATTATAAAGATGACAATAAAAAAAATTCCAAATCCCAACTTGCAGAGACCAAGTCAGACCAGAGGTGTAAGGGGGAAGGTGTGGGAGGAGAGGAAAGATGTACGGGTGACAAAATCCCAGTGGACTCAAGAGGACATTCTGGTGGGAGGGCAGACTTACTCAAGTGTCAAAGCCTGAACTAGGAGGAGGGGGACTTTCACACATGGGGTGGGGCCGAGCCAGGGTGACCGAGACCAAGCAGGAAGAACACCTAAGAAGGTCACATGTACAGGGTGGGGTGAGATGAGTGTCCCTGCAGGTCACACATCACAGAGCCTGAGCAGGTCAGCTTACATGTCTTGCAACCCAGTCTGAAATTTTCTTCAGAAAACTTGAACATTTGGTCGAGTTTATTCCTGAGTATCTTATGGTTTTATTGCTACAGTAAGAATAATATTTTCTTTTAATATATATTTTGCAGGGTATTGTATTATTTATTTTTGTAAGTTGATCATTTATCCAAAAACATTGCTAAACTGCCCTTTTTTTTTTTTTTTTAACACTTTGGCTGTACAGTTCCTTGTGTTTTCTGTGTAATTTTATTGTCTGTATAACCAAGCTATTCAGTATAGTAGCCACTACCCGCAGGAGGCTATTCAGCACTATCCTAATTGAGATTTGTGGAAGTGTAAAATATACAGCACACTTTTGAGAACTTAATTTGAAAAAAGAAAGAATATAAAATATGTCATTAGTAATTTTATATTGATTACATGTTAAAATGATATGTTTTTGGATGTGTTGATTTAAATAAAATAAGTTGTTAAAATTAATTCCCCCTCTTTACATTCTTGATATGGTTACTGGAAAATTAAAACACACGTGGATCACATTTTTGGCTTGCATGGTAATTCATTTGGATAGTTCTGGCCTAAAAAGAATGATAGTTTTGGTTTTCTTCTTCCCAGTCCTTTTGGTCATATCGAGCTCACTAGGACCACCAATATATTGTTGTGTAAAAGCTGCCATAGTAAGCACTTAGTTTTGTTCTTGACTTTGAAGAAAATGCTTTGAATGGTTTATCATTAAATAGAATAGTTGCTACAGGTTTGGGGTAGACACTCTACAGAAAATTCTTTTTATTTCTATTTGTTAAATGTTTTGCACTAAAACATTTAAATAAAAAGTGGTTTATTGATTTTATTAGATCATGCTTTTTATTTATTTATTTATTTTTTGTCCTTTTTGAGACCGGCCACACTGCACTCAGCCAGTGAGTGCTGTGAGCGCACCGGCCATCCCTATATAGGATCCGAACCCGCGGTGTGCCACGGGCTCAGCCCTAGATCATGCTTTTTAAATGTCGATATGATTAATTATATTAATAGATTTGCATATAATGTACATCATGTACATTGCTTTTTTTAATTTTAAGTTTATTAATATAATTTTTTTTTTTTTTTTTTTTTACATTCTAAGATGTTGCAGAGCAGTTGCAGGGAGGGGGAAAGGAGAAGGGAAAGGAAATACGGTGGGAGAAGGAGGAAGTGGGGGCATGGCTGAGGCCCATAGCACCTTCCTCATTACTGCAGGGGAGACCAGGGAGCTTCCAGCTGTGGCTCAGTCATTGCTGGTCTGAATGCAGATGACATGGGGCTTGGCTGAAGCCCTCAGCCCCTGCCACCGAGCTTGGGAGCCCACGATGCTTCCTATGGTGGCCTAGTGGTCATTGCTGGGCTGGTTGTGATGTTTGGGGGCATGGATGAAGCCCTCAGCCCTCCCACCTCTCTGGCTTGGTAGCCCAGGAGGCTTCTGGTCCTTCTAGGTTTTCTAGGTGTTCTTTGGTGGTGTTAGACCTTTACCAGTTAATATCAGACTTTGTCTCTGATCTATGCTATTTTGTTTTTTTCTTTCAGTTCTGTGTTGGATCATTTGCTGTTCCCACAACTTAAACTCTACACTGGAACTAATTTGTTGTCCTTTGCTTCTAAAATGGAGGAATTTCCAGTGGGGACCAGCACTTGAGCCCTGTGGTTGAGCTAAATTGCTGCTTTGTGGCTGATTCCCTGGGGAAGGATTTTGTGCTGCTCAGGTTTTGATTGTTGACTTCCAGATCTTGTGAAATCTGATACATCTGGGTTG